TACAGTTTTTCCCAATGCCTATTACCTATATTAAATGGTGATTTTCTACTCTAAACCAATCTGTGAGTGCCAACATCACCAAGAACATGGAGGTAAGGAAGGAGAAAGAGGGAGGACAGGGCAGGCCCAAATCCCAAATCCATCTTAAACCCTCTGATCCCCGTGTACAAAACCAAAACCCCCTGTACAGCACTCAAAAATTCTTCCCTCTACTTTGTGACTACTTCTACTCTAATATCTAAACTTTTGTGACTTCTTGTTCTTCCTGCAAGGTTGGTAACTCATTCCATGGTTCAAACCCAAAATCACAGCTGTTCCCAGCTGCCTGCCAGGGTCTCAAATGCTTCTGACCTGGGCCCGGAACATCCAAAAATGTCTGAGGGACGTTTTGAGTTCTGACAAGTGTTCTGGGATGGAGCCCCCCTCATCCCAAATCTCCTGCTGCAGAACCAGGGGAGATCCCGGAGGGGCTGGGGGTGCTCAGCTCCCTGCAAAAACCTGCAAAAACAGCAAGCTCAGCCTGACAGAAGGGAAATGTAATTAGGCTGAAGAAGAAAGGCAGGGAGAGGAAGGAGGGCTCTGTTACTGAGGGGCTTAGAAAAATTCCAAAGGCCTCCAGGCACAAGCACGGAGCTCAAAAAACGTCAGAGGAAGTCTGAGGCAGATTATTCTTCCCTTTTGTAAGGCAAATGACTAATTATACAAAGCAAGATGTTCTGTTTCAGAAGAGATTTGTGAGGTATCATGCAACATTGATACAGAAATTGTATTTAATGCAGGTTTACAAGGCGAGAGGTAAAAGGAAATGTAAATGCAAACATGGTGTTTTATCCTGTGGCTCTTCCCTCTGTCAGAAAGCTGCCTCAGTGCTGGAAGTCTCCTGTGAAACAGCAAAATTCTCCCAACTGGAGGCAGTTTCAGGCTTCCACAGTGTGTGTCCAGAAAAAGAAAGAAGCTGTGAGCTTAATCTAACTGAATTTCCACTGTTGTGTGCTGTTGCTATTTATTTTTACTCATTTTTCTTTCAAAGGAAGAAACACAAAATCCCTGTTAGAGGGAGCTGGATCAATACTGAGAAATTCTTTGCCAGATAAAATAAGAGCAATCATTAACCTTGCTGCTTATGAATTAAATGCAAACTCCACTTTTCAGCTCACCTCTCCCACAGCATCCCCTGCAAACTTCCCTCGTTCTGCTCAGCAATTAAAGCCCAGCTCAGCCACCCAAACAAGGATTGTTACAAACAGCCTTGGAGCTCTCTTCCTTCTGTTTGGGTGTTGGAAAAAAGAGGTGTTTCCTGATGTGGGTTGGGTGTTTTGGTGATAGGGTCTCTCCAGGCTGTTCCTTAGGTGTGGATTTGTGGATTATGGATTTATTGACAGCCCTGATGTCCCTTGGAGCAGCAGGTGGAGAAAGTTGATGGCCACGCCCCAGCTCTGCACTGCTCCAGCTGTGGGGTCAAATTCCAGCCTGTTTTAATCCAGGGAAAGTCATCCAGGAGCTGGAGCTGCTGGAGAGAGCCAGAGGAGGCACCAGGATGGACAGAGGGATGGATGGAGCAGCTCTGCTGGGATTGCTCACCTGGAGAGGAGATTTGGGGTGAGCTCAGCGTGGGCTGGCAGTGAAAGATGGAGAAGCTTTGGACAGGGATGGAGGGACAGCACAAGGGGGAATGGCTTCTGACAGAGAGCAGGGTTAGAATGGATTTTAGGAGGAATATCTACAGAGACAGTTGATGTCATTGTCCATGACAAAATCTAAACCAAATTTACAAAATTATCGTCAAGATTTTAATCTCTGACAAATTATTATTCTCTCAAAACCATCAGCAGTTTCAAGTTCAAATGGAACTTTCTGTGCACATGGAATTATATTTGCTGCTACTCTTGCAGTGTTAAAAGGCTGGGGACAGAAGAGGTTTGAAGCAGGAGATGTTGAAGTAGTGTGGAACTATTTGTACATTTGTATTTACAATAAATATTTTTGCCACAGCTTTGTTTTGTTGGAGTCCTCATGTGCACAGGAGTGAATCTGCAGATCAAATTTCTACAAGAGGTACAAAGTTGTGCTGCAAGTTTTTGTTTGATTTCTTGTTTCCTTTCAGTAAATGCTGCTCCCCTGCCTGACCCTTCCATCCATCTTTGTTGTGTCACTGGGTAAGAGGCTATTGATGCATTCCTGGAAAACAGAAATATTTTTGCCTCTTGCCTGATCAATGGGATTCCTTAAAATTTGAGTTTGGCCTTCTGAATTTTAGGGAGTTTGATGCTTGCTAAGAATTTTGGCTGCTTTATGGCTTCTCAAAGATTGGCTGAGTTCTGCAGAATTAATGTTTCACCCTCAGCTCTCCACGTCAGCTGAAAACCACTCCTTGCTCACATTTACCCACAGAAAGCTTTGGTGTTCAGCAGAGAGTAGATTTTGGGCTTTTTATTCCTCCTCTTACTTTCCTGTTGTTTCTTTCTTCTCTCTGCACCCAGAGATGCTTTGGCCAAGCAGGGAATGGAGCCTGCTGCTGGTCAATGGTTGATCCTGGATATATTTGTTGCAAAGCTCTTACAGGCACAAAAAAATTGCTGTACTGAAAGGCATCTATCTAAAAATAGATTCGATTCACTCAATTTCTTACAAATCATTGGTAGTTTTTTGGTTAGGATGGAAATCTGTGAAGCCAATTCTGCTTCTGGGAGCACTGTGCCATTTCTGCCAGACCCTGAAGTGAGTTTAGGTTTCACCATGAGATTATTTCGAACAGAGCCAGGTGATGCAGGAAAGATCTGGTTGAGAAACCACCACCAGCACCAAGCCACTCATGTTTTTAATGATCTCCAAATTCATGGACAACTAAGCTAAGGTACCTGCTCAGTCTCCTGGAGCTTCCAACACACGCCATAAAAACAAACCAGTCCTGGACAGAGGTGTTAAATCACACCAGAAGCGTGTGGCAGCACTGTCAGGTGGCCCTGCTGATGCTCCCAGGTGGGATTTGAGGAAAGCTCAGAGCTCTCCTGCCCCAGTCCCAGCTGCAAACACCAGCCCAGGAGCTCTGTGCCCCGGGAGACTCGGGCAGGTTCAGGTGCTCCCTTTCAGGGAGCAATTCCTTGGAATAATTCCTTAATTATTCCTTGGAAATTCCAGCAAATTCCTTGAGATAATTGCTTAATCTCCCTGCCAGGTCACACAGTTGCTGTGACACCTCCTGGCTTCCAGAGCTGGAGGAACATCTGTGGCTTCCCTCGTTTCCAGGTCCATTGAAGTGTCTGATGCTCTCAGCTGCTCCCTCCTGCTCCTGGACGGGGTTTGAGGTGTGCCAGGCTGAGCTGAGGTGGATTTCTGCAGCAGCAGTGATCAGACATTTCTCTGTGGCTGCTCTGGGGTGCTGCTGAAGCTCCTGGGAGAAGTGGAGATGGTGAAAGCCACGAGCCCATCCCTGGGGAAATTCCCCTTCAGAGTGCAGTGGAAAATCCTAATTCCAATCAGGCCAGCGAGAAAGCCTTAAATGAAACACTGACCTCACAAAACTCTTTACAATGAGATCTTTCCCACCCTCCTCCTCCTCATTTCCCCCCAAAAATCGGGGGTGCTGCGATGTTCTGGCGTTTCCCTCGGGCTGTGCAGCCGCTGCACAAATTCCAGGGAGGACAGGAGCGTGTGTGGGGAGGGGGCGATTCCCAGGGGAGGCTGAAACCTCCAGGAGCCCCGCTAGGTGCGAGCTGGGCGGGTTTGGTGTGACCTGCCTGCTGCGGAGGGGGGGTTTGTGCCGGGGAGAGCGGGGGAAGAGAGAGACAGAGAGAGAGAGAGAGACAGAGAGAGGGAGAAAAGGGGAGTGTGCAGCTCTGCCGCCGCTATCAGAGCAGGATCTGGCAGCTTTGCGAAGCTCCCCGCTCTCCGCTCTCCGCTCCGAGCATCCCGGACCTGCAGCTGGAATTGGCATGGAAGCGCCAAATGGGTTTATTTCTCCGCCACTTCTCGTTTCTCTCTCTCAGCAATAATTCACCTGAGGGCTTTTCTTCCCTCCACCTCCTTTCCTCGCGCTCTTTTTTGATGTGGAGAGAGGGGAGAAAAGGGCGTTGTGGACAGAGCGTATTTATTTGGGCAGCTTTTTGCGGCGTGTTTTAAAGAGGAGCCGGGCAGAGAGAGAGAAAGAAAGAGAGGGAAATAAAAAAATATTAAAAAAAATAAATAAAAGAAAGGGGAATAAAGAAGAAAGAAGGAAGGAGACGGCGCAGAGTGGTGGCGGCGGCAGGCGGCGAGCGGAGCGGGGCGCGGAGCGGCCGCGGGTGCGGAGCATGGGCTGGCGGCTGCTGCTGCTGGCCCTGGCGCTGGGCGGCCGCCTCGCCACCGCGCAGAACGACACGGAGCCCATCGTGCTGGAGGGCAAGTGCCTGGTGGTCTGCGACTCCAACCCGGCCCCCGACGCCAAGGGCTCGTCCTCCTCGCCGCTGGGCATCTCCGTGCGGGCGGCCAACTCCAAGGTGGCCTTCTCGGCCGTGCGGAGCACCAACCACGAGCCCTCCGAGATGAGCAACAAGACGCGCATCATCTACTTCGACCAGGTGAGCGCCGCGCCCGAGGCTCCGCGGGCTCCGCGCATCCCCCGCGCATCAACAGGTGCCGCCTCTCCCCGTCCCTGCATCCCGGAATCCGCTCCCAGGACAGCGGCAGGGCAGGGCGAGCCGAGCCGGGGGCTGCACAGGGTCCCCGCTTGTCCCCTGGGAGCGGCACCGGCCCCTCCGCAGCCGCGGCCCCGGGAGGAGCGAGAGCATCCCCGGGAGGAGCGGGGAGCGGCCCCGGAGGAGTGAGAGCATCCCCGGGAGGAGCGGGGAGCGGCCCCGGAGGAGCGAGAGCAGCCCCGGGAGGAGCGAGAGCAGCCCCGGGAGAAGCGGGGAGCGGCCCCGGAGGAGGAGAGCATCCCTGGGAGGAGCGAGAGCAGCCCCGGAGGAGCGGGGAGCGGCCCCGGAGGAGCGAGAGCATCCCCGGGAGGAGCGAGAGCATCCCCGGGAGGAGCGGGGAGCATCCCCGGGAGGAGCGGGGAGCGGCCCCGGGAGGAGCGGGGAGCATCCCCGGGAGGAGCGGGGAGCGGCCCCGGGAGGAGCGAGAGCAGCCCCGGGAGGAGCGAGAGCATCCCCGGGAGGAGCGAGAGCATCCCCGGGAGGAGCGAGAGCATCCCCGGAGGAGCGGGGAGCGGTCCCGCAGGAGCCGCGGGGCAGCGCTCGGTGGTGGCACCGGCGTGGTGACATCGCCCAGAGGGGTCGGGGACAGCTCCGTGCAGCCTGGTTAGGGTTTAGACGGTTTGTGCAGCTTTGGAGAGATTTCTAAAGGATAAACCCTTTAACTTTCCCGGCACAACGGAGCCAGCTCCGCTCAGCTCACAGCAAACGTGGGTCGGTACCGGGCAGACACCGACACACGTTCTAATCCCGGCTCCCGTCCTGGGGCGAGCCCAGAGTCACTCAGACCGACGGTTCTTGTTCTGCGCCCTGCTGTGCTGAGCAGGCGGCAGCTGGAGCCAGATGTGCCACACAGCTGGCACTGCAAATGACCCCCAAACTCCATGGACAGTCCTGGAGGCTTCTGAGGGCTGTGCTTGGCTACAGCAATTAAAAATAAAGCATAATTAGGTGGTAAGAGAGCAAAATGCAGTGGTTACAGAGGGTATGTAGCATATGGATGATGCACTCATCTTGAACATTCCCCTCTGTCGCTTCTCTGTATTTAATTAAACCCAAGTTATTATTAATGCTGATAAAATTATTAATAGCTCTGGTAAAATTACTATTAGTGCTGGTAAAAGCAGCTGAAGGCTCCCAGGCAGGTTTTCTGGGCTGTGCCAGGTGCTCCAGTAAGCCAGCCTGGCTGAGACTGGGAATGGCTCCTGCTGTTCCTGCACTCCTTGCTCGCACCCGCCTCTTTGGGAAGGCAGCGTTGGCTTGGCCACTGCTTTTCAGCCAAAATCCACGTGCCTCTCCCAGAATTGGTGTTTTCATGTCGTTTTGGGGAATGCTGAACAAAAATGCCTTTTTAAGAACATGTGTGGAAGAAAGGACTTGAGGGTATGGTGCAGTAGCAAAGAAAGAAATAATTCCCATCTTAGTCTATTTGTACTAAAGTTATCCTACAAACACAACTAAATACCCATTTAATGAGTTATTCCAAAGTAATTGAGATAAAATTAATAAACCAGCTTAGATGTAAATTAAAATTTCCCATGGACAAATGGTTTCTGAAGTAAATAACCTGTATTTTTCTTTAGCGCTCACTACCTGTACTAATCCCCGTGTTATATTTTTCTGTTTGTAGATCCTTGTAAATGTGGGCAATTTTTTCACGTTGGAGTCTGTCTTTGTATCACCACGGAAAGGAATTTACAGTTTCAATTTTCACGTAATTAAAGTCTACCAGAGTCAAACAATTCAGGTATGTTGATGCTTATGGTTATAAAATCTTTATTTAACTGGTTTATTTAGGATAGAATATTGACTGAGCATGGGAGCATTTCATATGATTTTAAGGAAAGATAGTTTTGTTTACAGCAGCAACCTGTGGTGCTGATTTCCTAGCTAGAAGTAGAGTTCATTAATTTAAAATGAACAGAAATAAGGCAGGGTCCTCACCTCAGATAAATCAGCACAACTTCACTTCCATGCCATGAATATCTGGGTGGCATAAAGGATTCCATCGGATGAGTGATCCAAGAGTAAAACAGAGCTCTGAATTTCACTTAAATGCTGTTGAAGAGTCGTGTTTTGCTCCAGGTTATACTCACAGTGTGGAACACAGGAGCTCTGGGTACCAGATTTGAGACTGGAACAGATTCCAAAACCAGATTTGGTTTTGGAACCATTTGTGCCCTGGCATCTGGTGCCAGGTACCTGGTTATGCCCTCGGTGTGCTGAGGACCAAGGTTGGTTATATCCCTATAGCAATGTCTTCTAGGGAACCTTTACAGCAATTTAAACTTATTTTTTTTTCACCATACAATGTATAAAAGGTGTGTGATATATTAGAGAAAAGGGGTAATTCTGCACTTCCTTCTGCTGCTTAATAGCAACGGAGCTGCTTAATTAAATACAAGCTGGAAAAGCCTTTTAATTCCTGAACAGCCAACAGCAAATTCCTTGAGATAATTTCTTAATCTCCCTGCCAGGTCACACAGTTGCTGTGACACCTCCTGGCTTCCAGAGCTGCAGGAACATCTGTGGCTTCCCTCGTTTCCAGGTCCATTGAAGTGTCTGATGCTCTCAGCTGCTCCCTCCTGCTCCTGGATGGGGTTTGAGGTGTGCCAGGCTGAGCTGAGGTGGATTTCTGCAGCAGCAGTGATCAGACATTTCTCTGTGGCTGCTCTGGGGTGCTGCTGAAGCTCCTGGGAGAAGTGGAGATGGTGAAAGCCACGAGCCCATCCCTGGGGAAATTCCCCTTCAGAGTGCAGTGGAAAATCCTAATTCCAATCAGGCCAGTGAGAAAGCCTTAAATGAAACACTGACCTCACAAAACTCTCTTTACATCTGTTTAATGTGCTCAAAAAATGTTCCTTTCACTCTCTGGCACGCTGAAGGTTTTAAGAACTGCATGTCAGCCCCTCAGTGGATTTAAAATGCCCATTGCCAAGGAAGATGCCAAGCCTTGGCTTCTGGAAGTCCAGCTCAGACTCTGGGATTTCACAAACCAGGAGCTCGAATCTGGGAGTCTGGGGCTTGTGGCAGGGGATGTTCCAGCCTGTGGCTCATGGCACGGAATATTTGATGGATTAAAGATTCTGGAGTGATGGATGGGTTTGCTTGGCCCCGTTTTAGAGCAGCCAGTGTGAGACCATGCCCTGCAAACCTGTCATGTGTCTTCTGGTGTGATTAAATTGCTTGGTCAGATGATTCCAGGGGAACCTGATGGAACAGAAAGAGTGAGAAACCCAAGCCAAGCAATGAGTAAAGCCCTGATGCCCTTTTCCTGGATGTAAATGGGGAGGAGAACCAGAAACCATTGCAGTGGATCCAACTGCTTTGAGTCTCAGCCACATCCAGCCCCACTAAATCACCTGCAGGCTCCCCACACAAGTGATGTTGCTCTGCCCCCACAACATCTGTTAGAGCCATTAAATATCATTAAACTGCAATTGGTTCCCTGGAGACACCTGATTAAGTGGATTTCCCAGACAGGTGAATCCCAAATAAATGCCAGCCTCTGCTGCCCTGACTTCTGCTGAGCACTAATTTATTCTGTGGTGACTCCCATTAAAATTAATGGGACCATATGCAAGGCCAGCACAGTGGATGTGGGTAAGCATCCCATAATTCACCCCCTGTGACTGCGTTAGAGCTGCTTGGAAAGGAAAAACAGCAAAGCTGATCGCTTGCCATGGGGGAAATGAAAAATGCCCATTCCCCAGGCCCTGCCCATCTTTATTTAGGGATGCTCCTTTCAGAGCAGAGGCTGTGCTGGCTTCAGAAGTGTTTTATAGAAAAAATGGAGCCAGTTTATAGAGCTAAAAATCTGTTCTAAACATCAGAACTAAGCTGTCATCAGTATTGAGAGTGACACACGTTTTGTTCCCAGTGAGGTGTAAGCACCAGCAAACTGTGCTGCTTCTGGCACCTCATGTAACATCTCTGGGTGCCCAAATTTCTTGAAAATATATTTTTATTTTTCTTATGGGACTAACTAACCCTTGAGACAGGCAAAGCTGGATCAGCTGAGGTGGTGCCTCACTCAGCTGCAGGTCCAGCTCATGAACATCCACGTGCTTGTGCCAGATAAATGTCATTATTAGTTTAAAACAACCCAAAAAGCACTGAAGATTGGGCCCTTGCACTGTGGTTCATATTCAGGGGCAGCTGTTGATGTTTTGCAGTTAATTAGAGCTTCTCAGGGGCTCTCTTGCAGGTGAATTTGATGCTGAATGGGAAGCCAGTGATCTCTGCTTTCGCTGGGGACAAGGACGTCACCCGTGAAGCCGCCACCAACGGGGTCCTGCTCTACCTGGACAAGGAGGACAAGGTTTACCTGAAGCTGGAGAAAGGAAATCTGGTTGGTGGGTGGCAGTACTCGACATTCTCTGGCTTCCTGGTCTTCCCCCTGTAAAGTCAATTTGCCCGTGACGTTCATCCAGGTGTGGACTCACCCTCGCCCCTGTTCCATGAAGGTCGTTCTGTCATCCTGGGAGTGGTGGTTCTTTATTGCTTTCTCACGGGTGATTTTGGATTCTCTCCATGGATTTTGGCCCCATCTGAGCTACTCAGAAGTTCCACAGAATTCTGTGTGTCCAGATATGATATCTTTGGCCTGAGACTAAAGCAGACAATAAATATCAACGCTTATGGTTTCAGCCTAAAGCTGCCTGCAAGATTTATTCCAATTTCACTCCCTGGATTCGGGGAAGAAGTGGATTTTCTTCAACTGTGAAAAGACTGGCACCGAGTCTTTCATGTAGGAGAGTTTGAGTTCAGACTTCAAGCAAGAGTTAGTGTGTTCTGCCAAAGAGCTGTGCACTGATATGTTGGTCATGTTCCTGTCCTGCCTGCTCTGCCACCATCCATCCCTTGTCTTGGAGAGGTCATTCCCATTGCTAAGTGGCTGCTGGAGCTCTCCTCTGCGTGTTGTGTGTTGGATGGTTCACCCAAATATTTGAGCTCAGTCACAACCAAGCCCAGCCTCCATAAATCTGAGGGGCTGTGGGTGTGTTTTGGTTGGGTATGGAAGGGGTTCCTCTTTTCCACGTGCTGATTCCTAAAAGGAAAAGCAGATTTTGACCATTCAGGGTTAAAGGTGGTCATGCAGGCACAGCTTTGCTCAGCAGCTTTGCCCTGCAGGACACCTCACACTTGTTCTTCAATTTTAATTAACTTGATTGATAATTACTGCTTTATTCAGCTCCTGAGGGATTCCTTCCTTAGACACAACCACTTTGCCAGCTGGAGATGAGATGCCCCTTGTTTGTATTTCTGTGTATTTCCAACCCTTCTGTTGTGTTAAAGGTCTTATCAGGTTTTGCCTTAACTCCACAGGTGTACAAAACTTTAGATTATTTGTTTAACGAATATGAAAGGCAAATAACTGATACCTAACTTGGTACAAAAGCTTCCCAGCTTTTTCTACAGGTCATGTGAATTCATAAATTATTTATTATCTCATTGTTCCACAATAAAGATTAACACATGTTAGCTGAATTTTTTGACTTTTGGATTTTGGGAGTTGCTTCATACTATTTTTTTTAATTGTGTATTATTATTATATGAAAAATGGAAGCTTTTGGGATTCACAGAAACTATCCTAGGAGGCAGAAAAACTGCAATGAGTTAATCTGGCAGAATCCTGGAGGTAATTAGAGTGATCTAGAAATAACCTATGCATTTTATTTAAAAACAGAATTTAGGCAGAAATCCTGGCCTCACTGAAGTTGGTGCTAAGAATCACATTGATTCCAAAGGATTTTGGAAGAAACCTCTGCTTTAGGTTCTGCCATCAGCATCAAACTCCAGCGCCATCAGATTGAATATTCAATAAAATCATTTTCCCATGAGCTGCTAATGAAACCTTCACCCCTCGTGCCCCAAATACACGGAATTGATGGATCCTTGTGCCTTGCATATCAGGAAGGATGTGGTTCTAAATTAAAAATTTCTGTGTACTTGAAAATGTTTGTGGGTGGAAGCATCTGCAGCAACCTGGGAGCTTCCCTGGAAGCCCCTTTGGGCTGGGATTTGCTGCTTTTGGGATCTGTTTCCACTTCCTTCCCCTGCAGTGTGTCCTGCTGGAATTTCACAGATTGGAAATCTCATTCCTGGCTGCTTGGAAACAGCAAATAAAAATATTTATATACATATATAAATAATATATTTGATAAATAATATAATATATAATATTTATGTATTTATATAAATATAATAATAAAAATATTTCCTGGTGGAAATATCAGGGAATTGGTGGCACAGCTTTGAGCCCAAATTCCTGATTTTTCCTCAGCTACCACACAGGAGATTTTGGGCTGTTTCAGGAGGACTGGTGGGTGCTTTGCACTCCTGTAAGTCAGACAGGAGGTGATTTTTTCAACACACAATTTTGTTTCTGTACTGACCACTGCAGCTGGGGAAGAAGAGGAAGGACCTGGCAAGGAGGTGAATGATCCACGCTGCTGAAAAATATTCAAAAGTTGTGATGACCAATCAAAATGTGTTCTTGCTGTACCCCAAAATGTGTGTATATAAATATATGTATATCTAAACCACCTGGAATTGCAGATCATAGTTTGCATGATGTTATAAAGAGGTTACTTGTCCTAAGAGTTTATTTCAGATGGGAGCATTGGTGTTTTTTGTATAAAATGGGTTAAATCTGCCATCTCCCCTCGCCCATGGATATATCTGTAATGTGAAAGAAATGTTGCTACTGAGACAGAAGAAAAATGGCATTAAAGGTGTCAGTATAATTTCGGAATCATCAAATGTATCTAACTTCTTTAATTTGTGAACATATGAGCTTTAAAGGCTCCTTTAGCACCCAGCAATAATCCTGAGCTATCTCAATATTGCTTTGATTGCCCCTCAGCAAAACATTTCTGATTTCTTCAGAGCCGTTCATGCTTATTTAAACTTGAGCTGGAGAGGCTGGGGAGTTATTCACTGAAGGGGTTCATTTGGATGGAAAAGCTTCTAAAACCAGAATTGCCAATTCATTCTCGTGCTGGTTAAAGGAGAGGTTGAAGTGGAGCTGCTGTGATCACACTGAGGTGGCCTCTGGGGACAGACAGCTCACACTTGAACATTTAAATAAGAACAAACTGTGGGGTTTAGACACGACTTGAGCTACCAGACCTTGCCCTCATTTTTATTTTGCTGTCCCACCTCAGCTGTGCCAGCAAGAGCTGCTCCCAAAAAAAAAAATATATATGAGCCAGGCTGGAAAATAAAATTCCTTTTCCTTCATGTCCTGCCACAGCATTTTCCTGTTGAGAAGCTCAGCAGACACTTCACTTTTTGCAGGGCATTGATGATTCAAGGTTTGATTGTTTTCAAAGAGCTGCAGCCCTGCCCTGAGCTGCTCTGTGAAGGTTGGAGCTGAATTTCTGATCCTCTGCAGACCCATGGATTTTGGGGAGGGCACAATCCTCCCCCTGCTGCACCAGGTGAGGATCCAAACCCACATCCTTTACCCCCTCTGCAGAACTTCGCCCCTCACAAAGGCTGATGGTGCCAGGAAACTTTTTAACCACATGTGGTAAGGACAAAAGAAAGAGAATAAGAGATTTATTTATTTTTCTCTTTCTGAGAATAATAGATTTATTTTATTATCAGTTATTTCTTTGTTACTTTTTAATCTGGTTTATTCATATTTTATCTGTATTTTTTTGTGAAGCTGAGGGGGAAATCCCTCTATTTTTTTTTCTTTCACTCCTCAGTAATGTAAATTAAATGCTGTTGGAAGAGCCAGCTCTCCCTGCTTGCCTCTGCTCATCCAGTGCAGAAATCTGCTCTGCCTGCTGAATCCTCTGTGCTGTGAGCAATTTGGGCTGCACAAGCCAAAAAACTGCAGAGCCCAAAAAAATCCTGTTCAAAAGAACTTGGTGGCAAAAGTCTTTTTAGAAAGCAACCGAGGTAGCTTTGAAATTTTGACAAGCTCTTTTGTCACGAAATAAAAAAGAAAAACCAACTTTGAAACACAGAAAAGGAAAACACATTCCCGTTTTTTAAACAAGCTTTATGTGTGGTTTATGTTACATCATTTTCTAGCGGTGTCTGAACATTTTATGATTTTATGAGTGTTAATTCAATCACTTGGGCCTTTTTATGGCTCAGCAAGTGTTGCAACCTACTGAGAAAACGGGGACAGGGTTTGGGAGATAATTCCGGGTGCCAACATATCCAATCCTGGCCCTGTTCAGTTTGCTGGACCAATCCTTCTTCTGAGACAGGACATTTTTTAAATACAAAGGATGGTTCTGGAGTAAATGGAATTCTGCTGTATTTCCCCCTTCCATATTATAGCTACACACCATTCCTAGAAAGAGGAATGCAGTGGAAGAGTCTGAGGTGCCTGAAGAATTTCCCAATTAGCTGCCAACTCTTGTTTAAGCCCCCAGAGGAGCACAGCTGCACACTGAGCAGTTTTACAAGCAGGTTTTGGAACAGAGAAATAAATGCAAGGAGCTCTATGTCATAATCACACCAAGGAGCTGAGCCATTAATATGAAATATAGGCTGAAGAAAACAGAAAAATGTTCTTTTCCTTGATGTTCTCCTCCTTTATGGGGGGTTGTGAGCTGGGAACATCTTTCACCTCAGCAATGCACGGTGCCCTTTATATTAAGAGCTCTTTAAAATATTCAAACTCTTTGTCTTCTAAAGATAAAATCACCCAGATAACTCAATGGAAATACATGAAGGTGCCCAGGGACAGAATTTATTGGCTGGCACATGCCACAACAACATATTTGTTGTGCTCTTGCTGTCCAGACAGAAAAGGCTCCTTTGAGAAAAGAAAATTGTCTTAGACCCTCAGCTGAAGTTATTTATCTGTTGCTGGTTGGGAATGGGGAGGGGAATAAAACCCTTTCCTACCCTAGGGGGAATTAATATAAAGAATGTTGATAAAATCAGTGCTCTTTCCCTTCTCTTCCCTTTCCCTTCCCTTTCCCTTCCCTTTCCCTTAACCAACTCAGCTCAGTTACCCAACACTATGAAATTTGGGCAGTTTTTAAACTTTTTTTTTTCTTTATTTTCATTAATTAATTAATCTCCCTGGGCACTGAAGGAAGACACTGAAGGGACCTTCAATGCCAGGAAAATGGAAATAATTGCAGGCAGCAGCTGCAGGAATCAGAGTCCAGGTGGAACTGCTCAGTGCAACCCAGATTTCCAGGCAGAACAGGAGATAACACGAGTTACAGATCTCTTTAAGGACACCTCATCCCTCATTTCTTGGAGAGAAACAAACTCTGGCTCATTTCTAGAAAGCCAAATAATGGAAACATTTGGAGAATGAATACCTAAAGCACAGGAATGCTGAGGAACATCAGGGCTGTGTAAGAAATGAATTCTCCAGCAGCATCGAGTGTTTTACTTTTTGTGGAGTGTTTAAATGGATTT